ATCAGAAATGTCACTATTCCGAGTGTCTTTTTAGTGTGGCTTTAGTATGGCTTCCTTTTAATATTGTACATACATTGTATCTTTGTTTTATGGTAATAAGTAATAAAAATGTAGACTTCATATTTTGTACAAAATGTCCTATGTACAGAATAAAAAAAAAAGTTCATAGAAACAGCAAAACTAGGTAAGTGGCACAATTATTTTTCTTTAGAAAAATATCTGTAACTTTATGCTTTAGTGAAATGTTAAGTACCTACATATTTTTTAACATTTTGTAACTCAAAACTTTTTGTTTTGACATTGTTTATGAAGAGAAACTTCATACACTTGCCATTTAATATGCTCTTTTATCTAATTTTAAAAAAACTCTAAAAATGGTGTATTATATGGACTAAATAAAGAACATGTAAATTTTATTGCTCATCATGAAACTAAATTTAGCCATGGTGTTGCGCAAGCTGGTTCTGACCACTGTCAAGTCACAGTTAGGGTCCGGGCAGCCACGCCAGGGACACTGGCCGGAAGCCGGGCTGGAACGCCTCATTCAGCTCACGGCTGGGTGCCTCCTGTGCTGTGCCTGTCACCTGCATCCAGGTTTCCCCACAGCATCTGTAAACTCATTTTTTGCTTCTCTGAAGGAAAAAGTAGAGATGACTTTTTATCAGCAACCTCTCATTTTTTGAGTAGACAAATTAAGAGTCTTGAACCGTTTGTGAGCCCTTATCATCATGTTTAAAATGATTCCTGAAAAGAAGTCAGTGTCTTGTAAGTGGAGCAGGGTCGCCGAGAATATGAATTGGGGGGTCTTAGTTGGTGCACCCACTTCTTGTTGGAGCTCGTTGTCCTCACCGAGCTGTTACTGAAAAGTCAACGCCAGGCGGCCTAGAATAAAGTTACTTCATCAAGTCGTTGCGATGATCCTCACCTGATGTTTGTCCTTGATCGACACCCCAGCAGGTGGGTTGTGGCCTGTGTTCCTTAGTGTTCTCACCTGTCAGGGGGCCTCCAACTACCCCCCGCTGGGGGAAGAGCAGAAGCAGCTCTTGGAGCCAAGGTGCCTCAAAGGGACCGAGCCCCAGGTGGCGGGTGGCCTTGGGACCTCCCGGAGTTCTGTGGCCCCGTAGGGTATTGTGGAGAAGCACACACGGCCACTTCCACTCAGGAGCAGGGACACTGGCCAGGGGACACTTCACATCTGGCACGGCCACTGAAATTGCTGTGTCCTTAGACTGGGTGTTCCCACCTCCCATCCTGAAATTGGAGGCAGCCTTAGTGTTTAGTAACTTCCTTTGGCACAAGAATTCTTGAGAGGACTTACTAAGTAGAGGCACACTGCACTGATCTCAAGGGAGCAAGACGCCACAGCAAAACCGAACAGGCTTTGCGTGTCCTCCCACGAGAACGCGTGTGACACCATCAGCGGTAACGATTTCCCTCTGCGGCCTCCGCGCCACGGGCTGCTGTAGGTGCCTCGCTTACCTGTGGCAGATAAGCCTCACCACCCGTCAGAGTGTTTGCCTCTATTATCCTCGGGGACAATGAGAAAACCGAGGAACACAAAGGTTAAGCCGAGTCGCTTGCCCAAGGTCACATGAGTACTGAATTGAGCCAGTTTCAATCCACAGTGTGGCCCACAGTCCCAGCCCCTCGCCACTATGTCACACTGTAGAAACACCCAGAACATTTTAAGGGAAAGCAGTGAACATGTGACGGGGCCCCAGGCCCACTGGAGAGGCCCTGGGACCTGCAGAGTCGAGGGGTGGCCGTGAACACGGAGGGCTTCTGTCCCTGCTCTTCTCAGACTGGACGGGCCTCAGAAACAAACCGTCCGGCCCAGTTTCCTACACCCACACTTCAGAAGCTATTGCTTTTATGTAAACTTAAGTTCTGTAGTATTTTAACTACTTTAAAAAAAAAACATACTTAGCAAATTTCAACACTTCGGAGACCAACTCATTAGCTTCCGGCCTCATCAACTTTATGTTACTAATAGGAACCTATACAGCTCATCAAAAATTCAGCTCTTATTTAATAGACGTGGATTTACATAAGATTTCATTTGTGGGGAAAATGGGTTCCACTACCAAAAAGTTTGAAAAGCACTAAAATGAACTCTTTTTTTTTTTTTTTAAGAAGCGAGTCATTCCTGGAGGTGAAGAGACGAGCGTTCTCCCGCTGGCATGCTGTCTCATGTTTCTCTGCTGCTTACAAAAGCATCGTGAACATTCCAGAGAGCTGCGGGAGTCGGGTAAAGCGACTCGACTCTGTCTCCTTTCCGCCGCTCCTGGTCTCACCCAGCCCAGGGTAGAGCTGGCCGGGCTCACTCCCATGGGGCTCTTAGAAGTACAGTTAAATAGACGCTGGAGCCAATCTAGGCTTTATGGGGTTTTTTATAGGATGATGAATTACAGACTGATTGCGAGCCGTTCCCAAGAGGTTTTTGACCCATCTTCTTCCCTGGTTTTATTGAGATACAATTGACATATACAGCTCTGTACGAGTGTGAGGTACACCGCAGAGCGGGAAATGCATTCGCCACTCCATAGGTATCTAGAATAATCTGGCTGGCCATGGACACGCCGGCAAGTATGACTCGACATACTTACATTGCGAAGGGATCACTACAGTAAATTAACATCCATCTTGTATAGTTACCAAAAAAAAAAAATCTTAACTCCTGTAATAAAAAACAGCCCGGCAGACAACTCAGCACAGCTATGGCGGAAGAGCAGTGGGGTGGCTGACCCCAGGGCCGGGATGAGCTTCAAGCGACCCCCTGGAATTATATCCTTTTTTCTGCAGGAAATAGCTTTTATCCAAGGGGATCCTGTTCTGTAAGTGTCCAGCACTCTCCCCACTCACACGCACACGCACCACGCACACTGTGGACTCGGAGGCACGGGGCAAACAGGCAGATGCAGCACTAAACCGTAACGTTGAGAAGTCAGTCTAGGGCTGATGTCTCTCAGATTTGGTGGCCTCGTTTGTCTTCATTTCTGTCTCCAAACACATCTTGTAGACGCTGCCTCACATTAGTGTGGACGTAGGGGCCCCCTCGCCGGCGCAGATGGGTCCTGCTGAGCCGTTCCTCCAGGACTGTCTCCTGGAGCCCCAGGTTCCACTCTGGCTTGTGAGCTGAGGCTTCCACTTCTGCCATGAGGCCGGTGAGCAGAGCCCCAAGGAACCTGCTGGGCACACACTTAAGGGGGTTCAGACCTCACTGGAAGAGGGTTCCTCCCTCAGAAGCCACCCGGAGCGAGCACGCTGCCTGAGGGCTGGAGACCAGAGCAAGGTCACCTCCCGCACAGGAATGGAGCCTCTCGCAAACCGCCATGCTGGGCATCATGTGGACTTTGCCACAGAGGGCACGAAATCCAAGCTGACCCCAACAGCCACGGTCACTGGGTGGTCTTGAGCTGAAAGCAAATAATAGACGTAGGAAGCGTTACTACTGAATGCACTGTTTTAAGCCTTTCTTTCATTCAATGATGCCAAAGTCCAGATGATTCTATACTGAAAGATTTTGCTGGCAAATCTCGAGTTGCTTCTTCCGGAATTGTTTCCTCGTAGGTTTCACAAAGCCTGGGATGAAACGCCTGCTTCATGAGTGAAGCCCAAGCACCGGAGTGATGGGTGGAGATGAGAAACAGGCTTTCCAGGAGCCCGCACTCTGCCCGATGCTCCAGAGACAGTCGCCAAGTTCAGGATGTCCCCAAAGCCACCCTCAGGTTCCACAGTTCCCTAGAACTCACAGAGGTGAGTGAGGCTGTTATACTGTCTATGAGTGAAAGAACACAGATTAACGTCAGCAGCCCGAAAACATGCACAGGGCAGGGTCACCCAGGAGAGCGCAGCCTCGGAGCGCCCAGCTGTCCTCTCCCCGAGGAGTGTCGCCAGCCAGGGGCCCACACCTGAGCCCTGGTGTCTGGCATTTTACTGAGAGCCGGTCACATCTACGTGGCTGACCTTACTGTCCAGACCCTCCAAAGGGTGAGCTGCTGCTGCACGGCCAAGACCCCCCCACCCCGCCCCTGCCAAATCCCGCTGTTAGCACAGACTCTCCAGCATGGCCAAGGTCCCCCAGGTAAATGAAGACGCTCATCAGACCACATTCCGGGGCTCAGGCAGCCCGCCAGGAGCTGGGAGCAAAGGGCAGACCTCCCTGGGCACAGCACAGCTGTACTGGCAGCAGAGGGTTGTCAACCAGCCCAGGCCACAGCAAGGAGCAGCGCGGGAGGCCGGCAGTTGACACGGCCTCTCCAGCTCAGAGCTCTTCCTGCCAGGCAGCCGCGTGCAGGGGGAGGGGAGGGGGCTTCCAGCTACGTGGTGGGACCTGCTTTCCAGTTCATCCGCTGGAAGACACGAGGCTTCCAGAGACGAGACTCACGCTGCTGAGTGGGAGAACAGTCCTGAAGACTGCGGCCATTCTCAGCAGCTCGGGGAGGGAGCGATTCAAAACCTCGACAGAGCTGGGAGGCGACGTGCATTTCATAGCAACATTAAATAAATACAGGAGGTGCACCTCGCTCGCTTGCTTTCCCCTTCAACGCAGAGTCTGAATGTCGGGAACTGTGCTCGTTGCTCTACAGGCACCTACAAGAGTCTGGCTGGCGAAGGCCATGTGGGCAATGTGTCGGGGAATGGCATCTCCAGAGCACTCCTAGATCACCGATGTCACCACGAAGGCCCCCAGCAAAGCCCTAGGAGTGCGTCGGGCCAAAGGGCCTGAATGACCTCTCACTCATCACAATGAACACCACAGGTCCAGCGCCCAAGCCAACAAGTGGCCGAGCAACAGTAGCTTCCGTCTGCCTCTCTCTCCAGCTTTTTCTTGCAGCCTGGAGAGTGGCATGGCTTCAGGTGGCAAGTTGCCTCATCGGCGAGGGGCCCCAGGACCAGGACCAGGCTTAGCGGAGCAGCAGTGCCTGGCCCCAGGCTGTGTCGTGGCTCCTAGGCGATCCCCCAAATCTGCACCACCTGAGTTGACACTGGGGCTGTGTCAGAAACTCAGGTCTCCGACGACCACATACCGGTCCTCACCACCAGCGCGGGGCACGACAAGGCGCTTCCACCAGAGCACGGGGGAGCGCCATCGACCATGTGACCACCCCCTCCCTTGCCAGCAGATGGGACGCCTGCCTGAGCCTCCTCACACTCTGCTGCTTGTACACAGTCCCTCGTCGGAGTGTCCCATACACGGAACACTCTGCCCCTCCTGACCTGTCCTCCCAGCATCATGAATTCTAAAAGACTTTAAGTGAAATTAAGCTCTGTGGGATGAAAGAAACGAACATTAACCAGTTGTTTACACTTCTCCAACCCAACAGCCACAGGCTCTTCAAAGCTGGAAGAGGAGAAAGAATGGCTGTAATGTTTCCTGAGCACCGACGGCATGCTGGGCTGGCCTTCTGGACACACACAGCGTCCTGTCGGATTCACACAACGATTAAATGTTGTCAGATTTCCATTTTTTGATGAGAACATGGAGGTTCTGAGGGATTAAGTGATTTAGCCAAGGTCACTAGTCAATAGCAAAGAATCCAAACAGACCAGCAGGGTCCTAAGATCTTACTTTGCCCTCCACAAAGCCCTCACTTGTCCCCACATTTACAGAGGGAGAAACTAAAACCCAGCGTCTGTCGACAGACCCTCGATCAGAACGCTGGCGTCCAGGTACCCAGCACGTGCCCTTGCTAACGCAACCTCTGCTTTCAAGTCTTTATCGAGCACCTGGTGTGTGCCCCGCTGTAACAGGAAGGTCTGACATCTCTTGCTCTGATTTGCCACTGTTGTTCAAATTTTAAAAAGAAAACACAGGAAAAAAGAAAATGTTTCCTTCCAAACCTCTGTGCCCTCACCGGCATCGGCAGCCAGCCAGCCATTTCTACTCCCCAGAGGCAAACTGTGTTACCAGCTTATGTATTTTTCTAGAGTATTTTATCTGTAAGTCAATGTGTACTTTTTTCCAGAATTGCAGTTCCTGACTATGGCATCCCCTAAAACTCAAAGACACCATCACCTAGCATTACTGCTATCCTTATATTACGGAGGCACAACCTGAGACCTAGGGAGCTGGGGTGAATGGCCCAAGGTCACATACCAGGACAATAGAGGGTCTGAGTCTAAGAACGGCCCTCTGACCTGGACAGGCATCTGGGTCCTGCTCTCCCCTCAAAACCCTGCCCTTCCCAGTGTCCCCTTTGTTTGTGTCACTCCCACCTCCCTCCTTCCTGTTCTCTCTGTTTTTATCACTTACTCTCGCCCACCTGGGGTATTGCTATATTTGAATCAGAAGTGGGAGGACCCTGAATGTGGAGTGCGACTCCTGCACTACAGAGAGGGGCAAACCGAGGTCCAAAAAGGCTCTCTGCGCATGCTCAGATCTAAGTCCAGCCTGCGCCCCACTGTTCCCCTTTCCGTCCTCTGCCTGCTCAACTCCCTCCTGCCCTTGTATCCCTCACATGAACAGCTAGCTGGCTCGGCTGCAGCCAGAGAGATCTACCCAAAACACTCCCCTGATCAGTCTGCCTAGCAACTCCCAAGGGTCAAAACGTTGGCCTCGCTACCTTCTCTATCTTCCCCGTGTGACCAGCCACATCTTACCCACGAGCCTTCCCCCTCTCGCTCTGACTTGATTAGCAGCTATTTATCCTTCGGTCTCGGAGGTGTCCCAACCCGGAGGCTCTCACAGCTTCCCCTCTTATTTCCAACTTGACTGTCTCCCCTGCTATGCCATGAGCTCCCCAGAACGGGGCCCGGGCTTGCTCAGCACTATGTCTCCAGTGTCTGACCATTACAGAGACAGAACTAGTGTCTCCAGTGCTCGACCCCTCCGAGCCCAGGCACACAGGCTCAGTCAACGTTCGACGGGAAGATGACCGAACGAGCGATCCCACAGAGGGAAGAGCCTAATCCCAACGGGGAGACGTGCACTCAAAAGTTGTATGCAGGTACTAGCAAATATTCCTGTAGGAACGCACCGAGGTGTGTGCAGAAGGTACTTGAGAAAAATAAAGTTAGGATACTCTCTTCTGTCTAAAACGCCCCTTCGAACCTCCGTGCCAGGCCCCGCGCTGCCATCTGTCCACACAGATGGACAAATTAGGGTCCTGTTAGTCCAGCGGGGAGACAGTCCCTTGAGGGTCCCCTGAGTTTGCTGAAAGCCACTCCCACCGCCCCCTCCAATCACAGAAGCGCCTACACAGCCCATTCTGCATATAATTTGAAGGGGGGGTCACAGCACCCAGAAGGCAGCTGAGGACCACGGCTTGACTATCCCTGGTGTAGCTGGATCGAGAAAAATCAAATGAATGGCTTGGAGCGCAAGCCGGCCCATGACACAACTGAGGAAGGAACCCAGGGCTTCGGAAGAGGTCGCGGAAACAGGGGCTTGAGGCAGGGATGGGACGGCGGCGGCAGGACCGAGGGATCACGTTAAGATATCTGTCCCACTCTCCAGATAAAACGAAGCCGAGCAAAGATTTCAGAGCGAAAAGCGCCGTAAACGCCAGGCCGGCTCGGAAAGATGACGCAACCGCCGCGCGAGTTCCCACCAACTCGCGACTGCCCCGCCCCTGCCCGGTGCATTGTGGGTCTTGGAGGCGCCCACGGGGCGTTGGGTCTCGCGAGCGAGCGCGAGCGGGATTCACGCGGATGACAGAATCCAGCGGGGAGGGGCGTCCTCTGCTTCCGTTCCTCCGGGCGAAGTCCCGCCCCCTGACCGGGAAGGGCCAATCCCAAGGCCTCCTCGTCCCGGCCGCGGGGATTGGTCCGAAGATTCACAAGACCGGAAGGGTCGCCGGTCACGTGACCGAGAGACACTCCGCCACGTGACCGAGGCGGCGGCGTCCTTGAACCTGGGTTTTATCTGCGGCGGGAAAGGGCGCGAGAGACCCAGACCTAAAACCCGGGTTCGGGACGGCGAAGCTCGCGGACTGCTGCGAGGCCCCGGCCTCCTGCGGCCGTGGGCAGGCTCTGTCAGAGTGATCAGGGCCTCAGGCCCCTCGCCTGTGAGTGAAATGGGCACAGCGTGCCCCGAAGAACAAGATTGCCCGACGCCCACGGGACGCAGAGTGCGTAGAAATGCCCTGCCGATGTGAAGCGGGGACCCCTCTCCAGCTGCTCAGAAAGCTGGCCTTGAATCAGATTGTTGAGCGGAGCAGAGCCCCTGTCCGTGGCTGACTTAAGCGACCAAGTCGCAGGTAGTAGGTATGTGGCGCGGACCTACACCCTTTGGATACGGGCCACTTGACTTTTGTTATCTTACTAAGTCGACAACCACAGTGACGGTGCAGTAGTGTCGGCGAGGCGCAGAGACGGGGAGAGCCTTTGCTGAGGCCGCAGAGCCTGGAAGTGGATGAGCCTCGGTTGGACCCAGGCGTCAGCCTGCGCAACCGGCAAACCCTCCGCCAGGTGGCTTTTGCACCGACAGGCTATGATGGGCGAGACGACTGGGAGCGCACATCACCACAGTCCCCATGCTGTGCAGAGTCACCCGAGCCACGTTGGCTCTCCCATTCCCTACTGTTAACTGCTCAAGATAATGGTGACCATGGAGGCTGGAGCCAGCGACTTCCCATTCTCCCCTTCCCACCGGGGCAGAACTGGTGTCTTGAGTCCTTTACCCCAGGGGCAGGAAGTATGTCGGGCATCGCCAGGAAACGAGGAGAAGCACAGTGAGTGAGGAACCTGGAAGCCAGAACTGGAAGAAAGGGGATGAGAAATGGGCAAAAGCTGAAAGAAAACAAGCACCAGCAATTTACTTCATTCAAGTCTACAAGTATTTATTGAACACCTACAGGGTACCAGACACTGCACTGATAGAATTTACTTTCTAGTGCAGGAAAGAGACAGTAAAAGATAAATGATATCATACTATAAGCGGTAAGTGCTACTGGGAAAAACAAAAACTGGGAAGAGGGATAGGAAGGGCCAGGAGGTGGGGGCAGATTTACAGAAGAGGTGGGTGAGGGCTTACTGAGAAGTGGCTTTAAAGGAAGTGAGGGAGGAGCATCCAGGCGGAGAACACGGCACATGCAAAGGCCCTGGTTTGGGAGGGAGCCCGCAGTGGAGTGACTGTGGGTTTGAGTGGTAGGAGATGATCAGAGAGGTAACAGGTGACCACAGAAAGGACTTGGAACTTAATTCTGAGTGTGCTAAGGCCATTGCAGGGTTCTAAAACAGCCTCGCTGACACTACCTCTGGAAGCCTCTTTGCTGTTCTTACCAAGCTGGACGCACCCCAGGGCCGGAAGGCAGGATGCCCTCTACTTACTGAACTCCAGACCACACTGGCATCTCTGTCATTTTTCCCCAGGGAAAGGCGGCAGCCCCTGCTCAGGCCCCCAGCACCCATCCCTGATCCCCACCCCGGCCTGTGGAATCTTCACAAGGAAAACCTGGGCCTGACTGGTGCCATCTTCCTCTGCATCATTCACAGCCCAGGGCTCTGAGCTCCAAAGCTGCCACACAGGGTTGTGCAGGTGCTTAGGTGGCCAGTGGGGGTGAAATTGCCACTCTGTGTGTCCTGGCTTGGGGCTGTTCACACAGATGCAGCTTGCACAACGGAGGGGGGCCTGCAGCTTTGCACACTGGGCTCTGCCAGTTCAGAACTCCCATTCCCCGAGTCTCGAAGCTGCCCATTAGCCGCATCAGGGCGTCTGCTCTCGAGTGGAGGGGCTCACTGACAGACGTGGTCATCACAACATCCACTGCCTCACTTTCTCTTTTTTAATAGATTTTACTTTTTTTAGAGCAGTTTTAGATTTACAGAAGAATTTAAAGCACAGAGATCCCCCAGCATGCAATTTCCCTTATTATTAACACTTTATGTTATGTGTAGGGTACATTTGCTACAATTGATGAAACAATGTTGATACATTATTATTAACTAGAATCCATAGTTTGTTCAAATGTTGTTAGTTTCTCCATGTCCTTTTTCTGTCAGGATCCCATCAAGGATACCACATGACATTTAGTTGTCCACCTCACTTTTTAAATTCTGAAGGGGCAGTATTGAGAGAGGAGGTTAAGGAAGAATTGCTTGACTTTTTTTTTGTCTTTAAGTCTCTGAATATGCTGCCGAGGGATGGAGGCTGCTGCTTGTGGCTGCGTTTTGGTGTTCTGCCTGACGAGTGACAGCACCTGGCGCAGCCCCACCCTGCGTGGAAAGGACGGGACGTTGGCTAGGGCAGCAGGAGGGTCGGGGGTGGTTAAGACAAGATCGGGGACGGTGGGGACCGCTCTGCGATCCTGGAAGCAACAGGTGCGGCACCCAGCCCGGCGGGGCGCGACCTGCAGTTACACCGAGAAGCCACTAGGTGTCAGGACGCCCTTTGGCCTGCGTTTGGTGCCAGCTAGCCCAGTGACCTGGGCACCTGTTTCTGGGCGGATGCTCAGGAGATCCTTGAGCACCCTCTGAGATCATGGTTTGCACCGAGTCCATTCATATATGTAACTAGATAAGGACAACAATTGTATTTTTTAAATAAATTTTTTTAAAAAAAACTTTAGTAATTAAGATACAGATATTTCTGACATTGTATTATAGAAATTTTCAAACATACAGCAAAGTTGAAAAACTACAGTGAACCCTCAGGTGTGATCAGCACATAGATTCTAACGGTTACTAGAATATTACCACACCCACAGGTGGCACGCCCCAAACTATGTGTTGCTGTAGTGAGAGAGACCACTGCACGGTTATAATCTGAAGTCCGACGCCTCTCTCAGTAACAGAACAGGTGGACAGAAAGTCAGGAGGGCGTGGAGGGTCAGCGAAGACTTGGAGGACTTGAACCACTGTTCGGCCAGTGTGGCCTGATGGGCATGTTCTAGAACACTCCACCCGCAGGCAGCCGCCCTCCTAAGGCCAGGAGTCCTCAATGGAGGGATGTACGGAGTGTCCGAAGGCCAGGAGGTCACCGGGGAGGGAGTGTTGTTAGAACACAAAAGCCACCTGAGGGCTGAGTGTGCCACCAAAAGCCAGGTGAAGGAAGTGCCTAAAGGAGGGGGTGCCCTGCCGTGTCCACGCCGTCCAGCAGTCAACAAGATGCAGACAGAGAGCTTGTCACTGGATTTGGCCATGCGGGGCCCTCGGTGACCTCCACTAGAGCACCTGCCCTGGAACGTGGGGGGTGGGCTGGGAGCACCTGATCACTTTGTTCCAGACAGGTCAGAGGCGGTCCCCACGTATTCATGACCAAGGAGTTTTCCTGAGGAAAGCATGGAAGAGGCGGAGAGGGGCGGGCAGGAAGGCGGAAGCGTTTCCTCCTCTTTCTTAAAGAGGGATGCGTTGGAACGGGCTGGACACCGCTGGGAGCAGTTTAGTACGGAGGGAGAACGTTTGCGAGCAAGGGGCGAATTTCAGAGGCCACGTCTATGAGAGGGGATGCGGCCCAGCGCATCCAGGGATTCGTGGCCTTGGCTGGGGCCACGGACAGTTCTTCCGTAAGAGAAGGGGCGGGTACCTCCAGAGAGGAGCGGCTAGGGCAGCGTCGGGGCGGAGGGCTTGAGAGCAGCTGTGAATTGTCAGCGCAGTTGGAGACAAACTTCTCTAACTTTACCAATGGGTGGTGAGATGCAGGCCGGGCCACGGGCTGGCATTCCCCTCTGCTCACCGCCGTTGATATCACTTAACAGGTGACCCACATGACCTTGGGAAGGTGAGCTGGGTGGCGCCGCCGGGGCGGCAGGGGCTGCGGGCTGGGAAGGGGCCTCGGTGCACGTCCTCCCCCGCAACACTAGAGGGCGCAGGGAGACCGCTCTGTTGCTTCGGGGCGCTTTCCCCTCCGGCCCCACAACCACCCCCAGCTGGGCTCGAAGCTCGCAGGAGCCCTATTTGGTTCCAGCCTTACCCCGAGGCTCTCTTAACAAGGTACCTAGACAGAAAAGGGGATGGATCCTGGGAGGAGTTTCATCAGAAAGCGTCTTGTAGCTGAGTGATCCATAGGTGGGTGGAGCTCCGCGCCGGCAGCCGCTGGGAAGGTCAAAATCCCAAAGGTGCCTTGCGGACCCGCTGCTGCTGCCAGCGCCAGCACCCCGTGGCCCGGCGGTAAGGCATTGGACTCACAGCCATTAAGCCCGCACCCGTGTTGGGCCAGGCCCCGCTGGTCCTGAGAACGAGCCCGTGGAATGAGTGAGTGAGTGAATGAATGAATGAATGAATGGGCCAGCCGAAAGTGTAATGTCGAAGAACGGCGATCCCAGGCGCCGAGCACGGAGGTGCTGGGTCGGCAGGGCTTCCGTTGAGGGGCTCGGGCCCCCGGATTGGGAGTGGGAGAGGGGAAGGAAGGGCGGGGATGAGACTAGCCGGGATTTGATTCGAGGGGCCACCCAGTGCAGTACTTTAAGGACAGGGGTGGGGCGTGGACGTGGTCTCCGTGTAGACACTCACCGCCAACTTCTACAATAAAACACAACATCGCCAATAAAACACAAGCGTCTCCTTAGCGGTCACTATCATCCCCCAGCAACTTGAAACGAAACGTCTTTCCAGCGTCCCCTGCCCACTGCCCACTGAAAGCCAATTCTACTATGAACAGAAGAAAACTGCGATGCCACATAGAGCGAGCAGTGGGAGAGGATTGGGTGGGAGAGAGCCGCCTGGGGCAGCTTGGGACATGAGGGGGGAGGGGCAGAGTCCAGCAGGAGGCCAAAGGGGCATCTCACAAGAAGAAGCCCACACCTTGGGGCCCTGCGTCCCTGCCCACTGCCAACTGAAAGCCAATTCTACTATGAACAGAAGAAAACTGCGATGCCACATAGAGCGAGCAGTGGGAGAGGATTGGGTGGGAGAGAGCCGCCTGGGGCAGCTTGGGACATGAGGGGGGAGGGGCAGAGTCCAGCAGGAGGCCAAAGGGGCATCTCACAAGAAGAAGCCCACACCTTGGGGCCCTGGGGTAGCCTAGCCAGCCCCTGGAATAGGAGTTTAGAGGGCTTGACACCCTGTGTACAGTAAGCACTCAATCAATCTTGACCATTCTTATTGTTCTTTATCAAATACAACAAACATCTTTTAAAAAAGTGAATGCAAGCACTTTTGGTCAGCTGTATGAATCCTGGTAGATTGGTTGTTCGAGTTCCTCCTGGAAGTAAACATTTATTTCAGTTGTAAGCCTGTCACACAGGGCTGCGAATCTGCAGGCTGCGGTCCTGCTGCCCTGGCTCGGGGCCAGGTTGGAGTCACTGGGACGGCCCAGCGGCTGTGTCCTCAAGCCAGTGCTGACTCACTCACAGTGCAGCCTGCAGGCATCCTCTCTCCATGTGCCAGGTCACTGGTGGATTTCTGCGTCTCAGTTGGTGTGCAGTCAGTTCAGAGTTCACTGGCCTGCGCCTAATAGAGTTCCCTCTTCATCCCTGCTCCTACCCCAAAGAACATGGAAGGTGAGGGGAGCACTTAGCAGAGCACCTGGCATTGAGTAATCATTCAGTGTTAGCTGTTGGCGATGTTATTACTTATTGCTGTTATGATTGTATCACAAACTCTTTACAGTTGCCTTATATTGTTCCTGGAAGGTTATTTCGACCTGCTTGGGCATATTACCCAAGGGTGGACTGGCGGAAGGCAGGAGGGTGTGGTATTAATCTATCCCCTCTTCCATTAGCTACCTAATGACAAGAATCATCTGATTAATCTCCGTGTTCTGGCAGCTGCTGGGGCCTGGCACCTGGTACTTGAGCAAGGATAAGCATAATGTATGTTTTGTAGTTTTCCAAGATGATTTGGGGAAACCAAATCATCCCATCATCTTCCCACCAATCAGGACTCAGCTCTCTGACTGCGGCACCCTGATGTAAAAATAATGCCTTTGGCCTCCCTTTCTCCATGCAATTTAAGAAGCAAGTTATGAGTTTGAACTATCAAAGGCTATTTATGCTCCTTAAAAGAAACTGTCATCTGTAAACCCAGGATGTGAGCTGCCTGGATTCTGGCCCTAACGCCATTTCGATGTAAGGGAGGACCTGTCTGGGTGGACAGTAGCTGTGGGGAGCGTTAGCCGCAGGCATCTCAGCCCCAGCCTTGTGAGGACCCAGACGCCGAGGCCCACAAATGATGGTGCCAGCCCAGCAGCAAGAAGAGCATCATCGTTCTAGGCGGGTGCTCTCACCTGGGTGCTCACAGCATCCTGGAGGGAATTCGTTTGTCATTAGCAGTCAGGACCCACAGCGACTTGGCTTTACACCACCATTCAGGTGTCATCTCCTGGCTTCACCTAACATTGCCTCTGCAGTCAGTGCTCCAGCTGCGACCTACAGGCCCCTCTGCCTTTGCAGAGGCTAGTTCCCCTGCTGGGAATGCCCCCTCCCAACCTCCCTCTTAACAGCCCAGCCCTGTGACACGCCCTCACCTCCTTCCCCACTGATAAATGTCCTCACTCTCCTTGTATATATGTAATAACACGTATGTCATGACTGTATCTCAGCTCTTAACACGTCTTAGATACTCGTTAAACGAGAGATCGTGGGCACAAGCTGGGTACTTAAAAAACGTTAGCTCTCGTCATTAGCATCGTTCATTCATTCAATATTTATGGAGTGTTTCGTCTCCCCGCTGTTCGCTGCGGCCGTAGCAATAAACAAGACGTCCGTGGCCCCTGACAACCCCCCACTGACCCGCGCGCCAAGTTCCCTTCTTCAAGGACTTGCGGCGCTGAGGCCGCGGGGCCCCGCCCAACGCTGAACTATAAGTCCCAGGGAGCTGCGCGGCGGCGGCGGCGCGGCCAGCCAGGGCG